GATTGCCTAACATTAAGTTCAAGGAAGATAAAATTTGTGAGGCTTGTGCAAGGGGGAAGCAGGTAAGATCCTCTTTCAAAAGCAAGAAAATGGTAAGTACCACCAGAACGATGGAACTGGTCAATATGGATCTTTATGGACCAATGAGAACTCTGAGCAGAGGTGGTAAGAGATATGTTATAGTGCTTGTTGATGATTACTCTAGGGTTACTTGGACACTATTTCTGACATCTAAAAATGAAGCATTCGACATGTTCACTTCCTTTGTTAGAAAAACTCAAAAACAACTAGGTAATCAACTTGCATCAAATAGGTCTGATCATGGTACTAAATTGAAAATGCTAAATTTGATGAATTTTGTGATGTGCATGCCATAGATCATAACTTTTCTGCAGCTAGGACTTCACAACAAAATGGTATAGTTGAAAGAAAGAATAGGACATTGGAAGAAATGTCTAGGACTATGCTTCTTTCTAGTAAACTACCTTATAGTTTCTGGGCAGAAGCTGTGAATACTGCATGTTACATCATAAATAGGTGCATGACCAGACCTCTTATTGAGAAGACTCCCTATGAGTTGCTTAAAGGGAGAAATCCAAATATATCACATCTTAGGGCATTTGGATGCAAGTGCTTTGTGCACAATAATGGCAAAGACTCCCTAGGTAAGTTTGATCCCAGAAGTGATGATGGAGTATTCTTGGGATATTCTTCACATACTAAAGCTTATAAGATCTATAACAAAAGAACTATGTGTGTAGAAGAAAGTGTACATGTGGTTTTTGATGAAACTAACATTCCTTCTGAGAGATAGGAACATGAAGATGAAGCAATTGGGCTGGTAAGAAATTTAAATGAAATCACAGGCCAGACTGAAGCTGCACCAGAAGAAGGAACATGTGATGGAACAGGTTCTTCTATTCAGGGCAACCTAACAGGGGGAACTGAACAAAGAGGAACCAAATCTCAAACCTCGATGGAACTTGTCCATGAACCTGTTCCACAGCAACAAAGCATTGAAAGAACATTAAGGGGAAACCAATTGGTTGTGAAATCTTACAAGTATCAAAGTTCTCATCCAATTGGGAATATAATCACTGACCCAACCTTTGGAATCAAAATCAGATCTTTATTAAAGAATCTTTGTGCTTTTGATGCTTTCTTATCTCTTATTCAACCTAAAAATATTGCTGAGGCTTTGCAGGATGCAGACTGGCTAAATGCAATGCAAGATGTACTCAACCAATTCGAAAGGAGTCGAGTTTGACATCTAGTACCAGACCAAGATATATCAGTAATTTGCACAAAATGGGTCTTCTAAAACAAAAAGCTTAAGTAGAGATCACTTTGAGAGGAACAGGTTGAAATTAGGATATTAAGATCACCTAAAAGGACCAGTTCAAAGTTAAACGGAACAATGATAAAAAAAAAATTATTGGTTAGAAAGTCTGTAAATTTTGTATATAATTAGATTAAATCTTGCTCAGTCTCATACTTTCAACAGTATAGTGCCATGTGCTAAAATAACTCATTAATCTCTAATGATATTTTCTCTATTTTGGCAAATTTTGACTTACACAAGAGAATTTCAATGAAGAACCTGGTTCATCAAGATATATAGGTATGTTTTCTACACTCTGCATAAATTGAAATAATTATATTTGGATCATGAGCAGAGTCCTGCCTAATTCCAAACTCCTTTTGGACTTATCCGTTACAAGTGAACCAGTCCCGTTCAAAAGAGTCCCAAACCGAATGGAAGTATCTAAATTCTAGGGATACACTCCAACGTCTCTTCAAAACTGAATTTCAGTTTGATTAGACTTCTAAGAGTCTAAAAAGTTGTAGTTACCCCATCAATATATTCCTCTGTATATTGATCATCTTTAGTGTATTCCTTACTTCATCTCTCTCAAGCCGTCAAAAAATCTCATTCTTCTTTCATCTTCCAAACACAATCTAATTCTGTTCTCTTCCATACCCTAGACCAGATATGTCGAACACCTCTAAAAATCCTTCATCACCATCACAGGAAACCACTTCCATATCTTCTACCACTCCTTCAACCACACCAATCTCTAAGTAGAGTAAATATGATGGCTCGTATGATTGTCGCTGAAGGAGAGCAGATCAAGAAAATAAACAAGCAATTGAAAGCAAGTAGGGAGGAAGAATCCCAGAAATCTGAAGATTCATTTAAGTCTACTACTAAGGGGGAAGAAAGTACTTCTTCCGAAACTGAACATGTATCTTCTGATTCTAAAGCTACTCCTAAGACAATTTTGAAGTTGCTGCAAATTTAGAGAATAGATTTGTACTGGTAGGATCTATAGCAATTGTTGAGACTACAGAATCTGGAGAAGTTAGTGGTAAAAATAAAAAGGAAAAAGAAAAAGAGAGCAAGGTTCTAGGAGTGTGTGGAGGGGAAAGGGTAAAAGAGTGATTGATTCTTCAGCCACTCCTGTTGGTCTAACAAAAGAAACTGGTGCAATGGTTGTTTGGGGAGAGGAATTTACTGAAATAGAAGAAGTGTAAGCAAAACAGGGGGAAGTGGGTCGGGTAAACCTGCTGAGGGGTTGGTTCAACTTGGGAAAAATATAAATAAACCTGTTCCATCTGAACAGGAAACCCTTGCGGACCTACTGATAGGGTTAAAACTCATGTCATTCCCTATGGCTTCATTCTCACAACTGTACTTGCACATTTCAAGGTACCAATGAATAAGTGGGAGATTAGTACAAGCTAGGATAATTTTGGGGTTAATACTCCGCTTGCTTGCTATTATGAAGTCAATGCCACTCCTAAAGAAACTGGTTCATCCAAGAAGGTACCAGTGAATACCAAGGTCAAAGCCTTGGTGCAAGAAAGTGGGCTAAGGATGCTGAGATTGAAAGGTTGAAGAAGAGGTTGGTTGAGGTGAAAACTGAGAGAGATGCTCTCAGAACTGAGCTGGCAAGAGAAAAAGAAAAGAATGATGGCATTCTTTAGGATATGCTAAAACTCCTCCAAGCCAAAAACCAAGCACCTAGTTCTTCCCAGCCTTAAGCCTCCTAGCCTAGTGTAGATCAAACTAGTGAGCCAGCTCGGGACTTTTTGTTTCTTTGCTCATGTTTTCAGTTTTTATTTCTTCTTATGCTTTGTGGTAGAATCTTATCAATCATCAATGAAATTCAATGTTTTTTGCTCTAACTATTTGTTTATATTCTTTGATTTAAAATTCTTAGCTTGATCTATGATGATTAATCCATGATTGCATTTGAAGTAGCCCCAGTGGACATGAGTAAGTTTTAAAATCTGGTTATCTCATATTTATGCAACTTTCGATGATGACCTAAGGGGAAAAAAAGTTGTGCTTTACACGCTTTATACTTTGAACAGTGATGTTTATAACCTAATGAACATAGGTCCTTGATGATAAGTAGATAAAAGAAAAATAGTTTCTAACATTGTGTTGGTGTTGAGCTGAGTTGAAACAGGGCCTAAGCTTATGAAAAAACACAAAGTTTGTCATCATCAAAAAGGGGAAATTTTTTGGCCCAAGTAAAGGTTTGTTTTGAAGATTGACAAAGGAAGCTCAGGCATGAACCAGGTCCATTCCTCCAGGTCCATCCCTCCAGGTCCATCCCTTGTGTGCATAGAAACGGGCAGATTCGGGCATGTGGGATGCACGTGAAGGAGATAAGCTTAACTTGGTATTCTTGATATCTCCTGATCGAAAAAGTTGCATAATTGATAAGGATAAGGACTCCTTAATCAAAGAGAACACTATCCAGGAGTTAGAAGTTGAAATCAACTAGAACTCTTCCACCAAGGAAGAATAGCATTAGAACTCTAGTTATGTCTTCATCTACTAACTCTATAAATTGCAGGATGTTCGCACATTACAGTTGTTACACAAACGCAGAAGTTAAACGTGAATTGAGAGCAAAATAGCAAGGCAATTTTGCAAGCAGTTCGTGTGTGATTCTAGTGTGCAAACCTGAAGCTACATGAACCAGATAGAAGAACCAGTGCTAAGTGTCTGTCTTTTATTCTAGTTCAATTGTAGTAGGTGTTTTCATATTGTACCTTTCAGCTTTATCTAGAGGCAATTGTAATATGTACTCAGAGTATTCAAGTTAGAGTTAACTTGAAGTTGTCGTAACAGTTAGAGGTTGTGTGCTACAACGGGATTCGAGTTAATCCTAGGTTTACAAAAGAGTTTTTGTAAATGCAGTTTTTGGCTCAGTAATTTTAGTGGAGAGTTTGGAAAAATCCTACTGGAAAGTAGGTCGTGGTTTTTTTCACCTTTTGAGCCAGGTATTTTCCACGTAAAATACTTGTGTTCTTTACTTTTCGCATTTACTATTTCTGTAATAGTAGGTTAAGGAACACTTAAAAGAACCAGGTCCTTCCAGAATCAGGTTAAGCGAAAAATCGGTCACTACACAAATCATCCCCCTCCCCTCTTGTGTGGTATTGAAATATAAAACATCAAAAACCAAGATGAAGGAATTTGATTTCTTTTGTTTTTATGACGTATTTTGAATATTTATTGAGTATCTGCTACCTCCTATCACAACAAGTACGAGTGAATCTATCCACCAAAGTTTAGGTAGTTAAAAAAAAATCACCTACTAATATTTTTTTATATTCGCCGCGGGAGATGAAGGAATAAAACTTCTATCCCTTATATTTGTACGGGGGAGGGAGGGGGGAGGGGGAACCAATTGTATTTTCTAACAATATTTCGGGTGTATGAATATAAAAATTGTATTTTCCCTATCAGGAGGATCGCTAGGTCAAATTCACTAGTATCAATATTAATATGGAAACCAAGAAAATAGTGCAGTATCCCATTAAAAAATCCATTTTATGACTAATCGATGACTGTATTTTTCCAGCTACTAAAAAAGTCAAACCACCTCTTCTAGTTCATGTGGTTTTTTCTTGGGAATTACATCAACTGTTAAAAACGAAAAAAAGAAGCAAACAACAAGATCTGCAACTAACCTAGATTTTACTTCTTACAGAAACCATGGCTGAAACTCTTCCTCCTGTTGCAAAGGTAGAAACAGTTTTCAAGTCAGTTCAAGAACTGGCAAACAGCAATCAAATTCCAGAAAAGTATATTCATACACAAGGCTCAATCAATACATTTCCTCCACTGCTGGATGTACCAGAAGTTGATCTTAGTCTTATCATTTCATCATCCCATTCCCCCGCCCGCGAACAAGAGCTCAACAAACTTCAATCCGGTCTCAAGTCTTGTGGCTGTTTCCAGGTCTGACTTTGAGTACTTAAGTATTTATTATTTGATCTATATCCCGACATAAGAAGTCCAACACGAGCATTCCTTGAAATGGCAATCCATTAAAAAAATACTAATATTAAGATCGGCTAGAACAAGGTGATTATCTTGACGTAGGTTTGTCTCTGGTCTAGATCAACTTAGGCTAGAACAAGGTGATTATCTTAACGTAGGTCTGTCTCTGGCTTATATCGACCTAAGTTAAGTGACTGTATCGTTCGGCTTACAAAGTCATTATTTGGGAGTATTACCAAAATGTTCCAAAGGTGGGATTATCTTGACATAGGACTGTCTCTTGCCTGAAATGTGGAACCATATATCAAAATCAAGTGTTTTTTAAGTTCAACTAATTTCATTGTTAGCAGTGTTGTCACAGTTGACCACAATAATTTTTTTTAGGGGTAAGGCTGCATACATCTTACCCTTCCCAGACCCCACTTGTGGGAAACTACTGGGTTTGTTGTTATTGTTGTTTAAGAGCATTTTGTAATCTTGGAAATGTTTTTCTTTCCAATTTTTTTTTCCAAATTTGATAAGATTAGGAATAAAGTTATTCAGGAAAAGGCGAGAGTGGCCTCCGTAGATGATAAGATGCGGGAGGCGAGGCTGAAATGGTTCAGGCATGTGAAGAGGAGAAGCATTGATGCCCCAGTTAGGAGGTGTGAGAGGTTAGCCACAATGGGTATGAGGAGGGGTAGAGGTAGGTCGAATAAGTATTAAGGAGAAGTGATTAGGCAGTACTTGACGCAGCTGGAGCTTAGCGTGACATGTCCCTTATAGGAGGGTGTGGAGGGCGAGGATTAAGGTAGAAGGCTAGTAGGTAGTCGAGCGTGGTGCTCTTTTCTTTCTCAGACCTATAGCATTAGTATTAGTATGATATCCTTTTTACTCGTACACTGCTATCTTTACTTGTTGTTTGATTGGTAGCTTTCGCTTTGGTTTTTTTAGAACAACAACAACAACAACATACCCAGTATTATCTCACAGTATTATCCCACACTGTGAGGTCTGGGAAGGTAGTGTGTACGTAGACCTTTCGCTTTGGTTTTTTTAATATACTTATGTTGTTAGTACTTGTGGCCTATGCTTCTGTTCATCTAATCCTTTGCCGAGGGTCTATCGAAAACAACCTCTCTGTCTTCCCGGGTAGGGGTAAGGTCTGTCTACACACTACCCTCCCCAAACCCCACTTGTGGGAGCTCACTGGGTTTGTTGTTGTTGGAAATGTTTTTTTTTTCCTTGGCTTGTGATTGACAGAAAAGGAAAGTAGAACTCAAACTTCAGAGGATCCCAATAAAAGAAGTGAGTGAAAATGTGGAAAACAAAATTATAGTAAACGTTACTGCATCTAAGATAGTAAAAGAAAAAGATTGTCACAAGGGGATGATATCAAAGTAGTAAAAAGAAGAAGATATGAAAGTGAATGAAAAGAGGGGGTACTTAAATCATTCTATTTGTAAGCTATCTATTTGCTCTCTGCACTATTAGTTGCAATATCCATTTAAGAGTAACATATGTATGGGGTAATATTTGAAATTCAGGTCATAAATCATGGAATAGCAGATTCATTTCTTGACAAAGTGCGTGATATTAGCAAACAGTTCTTTGCACTTCCAACTGAAGAGAAGCTTAAATATGCCAGAACAGTCGATGACATTGAAGGATACGGAAATGATTCAGTTCTTTCAGAAAAGCAAACACTTGATTGGACCGACAGATTGTATCTAAATGTGATGCCTAAAGACATAAGGAAACTCCAATTCTGGCCCCAAAAACCTGAATGTTTTAGGTATGTGTTCTCTCCTTATGGTAAAGTTGTTGCCATGTAATCAGGAGGTCACGGGTTCAAGCCGTGGAAATAGTCTCTTGGAGAAATGCAGGGCTGCATATAATAGACCCTTGTAGTCCGGCCCTTTCCCGGACCCCGCGCATAGCGGGAGCTTAGTGCACTGGGCTGCCCTTTTTACTCTGAAATGAAGAAATTAGAAGCATAGGGCTAATAAGATTACCTTACTTGGCAGGGAAGTTTTTGAAGAATATATCAAGAATATGAAGCTGTTGAGTGAGTCCCTCCTAAAGGCCATAGCTACGTCATTGAACTTGGAGGAGAACTGCTTTCTGGACCAGTGTGGAGAACGAGGAATGATGGTTGCACGATTCAACTTCTATCCTCCATGCCCAAGGCCTGATGTTGTACTCGGAGTCAAACCACATGCTGATGGATCAGCCATTACTCTCCTGTTGCAAGACAAAGAAGTTGAAGGGCTTCAAGTTCTAAAAGATGATCAATGGTTTAGAGTGCCCGTTGTCCCATATGGTATCCTCATTAATGTTGGAGATCAAGTTGAGGTATATCGATCTTTAGGACAGAGTTGTTAAATCTCAAATATTGTACAGCATGTAAAATTCTCAGAATTGTTGTGTTTCTTGCAGATTATGAGCAATGGCATTTTTAAGAGCCCCGTGCACAGGGTGGTGACGAACACAGAAAGAGAAAGAAACACTCTTGCTGTTTTCATTATGCCAGATGTAGATGTTGAGATTGGACCAGTGGAAAAACTTATCAATGAGGAAACGCCGAGAGTGTACAAGAACATTAAGAATTATGGTGAACTCTTCTTCCAAAACTATCAGCGCGGGAGAAGACCTATAGAAGCAGCAATGATATGCAAAGAACTCGATAGCTGATAACAAAAAGCTAAGAGAGCATCAATTTCAGTTCCTTCTTTCTCGATTTGTATTTTAATTCGTAATTTTTTCAACACTGTCTAATTTTTCTTCTGTTTAGTACCACTTTCTTTCAATAATAGAAGTATGAGTTTAAGTTACATACACCTGCAGTATAAAGAAATTTTGCACTATCAGGTCACCGAAAGGATATTTACACGTAAGTCTCCTTAAAATATGGGATTTGTAATCTTGAAAACAAGATAGGTTATTTGCTATAGCATGTAAGGTGACCTGATGGTGTAAAATGTTCTTACACTGACGGTGTATATAACTTAAACTCTAGAAGTATATATTTCTCTCTAAGTCCAACCTGTAGTAGCTCGTTAAAGTAGTTGAATCTTGTTCACCCTGGAAAGTGGAGACACTGCAACTTCCTTTGCCTGAATAGAAGTATCTATTTCTCTCCAACTTCAACCTGCACTGAAATGAAAATAAGAGGAGTTAGAGTAGTTGAATCTTGTTCACCATGGAAATTGGAGAAAGTATGAGTATTTTTCCCTGAATTTAGATACATTACAGACCGAAAGTTTCTGTCCACTTGCTCCCGCAATTTACCTAGAAATTGTGGAATAGCCGAAAGAATCTTGCATAAGGTATAGGTGATGATATCGTACCATGATACCAATAATAATACATACATAAAGCAATTAGATGTAGCACTTCATCTGCTAGGTACCTTTGGAATTCTATTAATGAAACCATATAAGCGCAAGAGGTTGTTTATTCTTACATTGCTATAAGATACAAATGTACAAAATTTGAACAAACACTTTTATTGTCATTTACACCTGCCTAATTCAAAACTCGGATCTGCTTAAAACTAGCATATGTATATATCCTCGTACATTTAAGTACTCAGGAGAAGAAATCAATGTCTTCTTGGTTTGTGACCTTGTCCCTTACTATCACTCAATAATCTCATGGAATAAGTACAATTCATCGATCGAAGACTCCTTGAATCCTCATAAGGTTGTTGAAACCCAATATTTTCCACAGCACCAACCGTCTTGAACAATCGTCTCTTGTGCACTTCCTCCACCAATGTCTTGTGCAGCAACTGGCTGCGCATATCCACTAAGGACTTGTTCCTTGTTAGTCTACGGGCATCAACTTTGCCCTTCTCTTTAGAAGTGGAAGAAGTTCCTTTTAATTCTAGCATATCTTTGCACTGCTTGTAGCACATTCTTGCTAAAGACTGCCCGGTGCTTGAGTTTTCCCCGGGACAAAACCGGGAAGTATGGTGGTTAATTGCAGTAGCTGGCTGACTTTGTTTTGTAGAGGTGGTCACAGGATCATTCTCATCATCAGAGAAGTAATTGAAGTTGGAATAATTTGCAGAGTGCGATGAGCTTTGAGAGCTGGTGCCATCAAACATATCACCTGCAAGAGTAGGCGATGACTTGATCAGATGTAAATCAAACAGTTAAACATTCAATACAAAGAAATAGTTAAACATTCAGTCAAAATAATAAGGCCAAATAAAAGCGATAAACATATAAACAATCACCTCATGGTATTTTAATCAGATCGGAAAATGCAGAAATGCTGCTGGTTCTTTATTATAACTCAACTAAGATAAGTGGTTTATTCAAGTTCATCAAACAAAATCTGCTAACAATAGAGCAAAGACGACGTACGTGGAATTGGTAATATTACACTAGATTAGATAAATCATAATACCATGAAGCCAATGAGGACCATTGGTGTTTGTGTCAATCACTTGAGAGGAGAGCAGACCTGACAATGACACTTGGGAAGATGAGCAAGATGAGAAACCTTGGAACGGGTTATGGTGATCATTATCGTCGTCTTTATAGCTTAGCACATGGTAATCAGCGGATTCAAACTGATTCCATTTCTTCCACTGAGGTACCAGGCCAGATATCTCTCCATCGATCATATTAGCTATTTCATGTGGCTTCCAGTCTGTTATATCTAATTCCTTCACCATTTCATTTGCAACCTCCGTGGGGGTGTCAGTCACAATGTCGAATGGGAAATAAACATTCCTAACATCACCTGCATGGACAGATTGGTTTAAGTTTAGCCTCATTTGTAGCATTAATACTTCAGCTTCATGCATTTGTGTAGAAACTGGACTAATAATATTCGTTTTTCTTTTATAATCCGTCCTAATTCTTCAAGAACAAAGCTGAAGTCATAGGAAACAGAAATTTGTTTAAGATGAAGAGCAGCAAATACCTTCTTTATCCGCAATCTGCACTTTAATTAAAATGGTATCGTCTTCAGGGTTCAGTTTCCCCGTGATGGTCATATTAGTCCTTGGAGCGTCGTCATTCAAGTGGAGGTCCTCGATAGCAATTTTATCATTCAAGAAAGGCTTTGGAAGTTGCATCATTGTTACCGACTTACCATCCACATTATCAAATACAAGGAACGGATCAACCATTAGTTCTTTAGCTGATAATCTTTTTGATGCTGGCTCCAAGCATTTCCTAATAAACCTTTGTGCATCCAAATCTTGGACTTTATAAAATGCCCTAGGCCTCTTACCCTGAGTGAGGCAAAAAAGATAATTATGTAAATTTCTGATTGACTGACAAAAACTTCCGAAAAGATCTTATTAAAAGAGAGAGACAGCATCTTACAGAGGTCACTTTTTTGTATATTTGTGCGGGGTTAACACATTCACTGTATGGATATTCACCAGTAAGCATCTCTAACATGCACATGCCAAATGAATATACATCAACTAGCTCATTGTAGTTCTCCTCGTATAGTTCTGGTGCCATGAACTCAGGTGTCCCTATTGCACATGAACAGAAACAATAAACAGTCAGTAGTAAACGTGGAATGTTTTACAAAACACTAATGCATCTCAGATTTGATTGAATTTTATATAGAGAAAAGTCTCAAAATCAAGGCCAGTCTAGATAAAAATTGACTTTGGAAGACCACAGAGCTTAAGGGTAGCCCGATGCACTAAGCTCCAGCTATGCGCAGGGTCGGGAGAAGGGCCGGACCACAGAGCTTGATTCACCAAAATTCATTTCCATCTACATATTAAGGCGTGATGAGATATTTGGCTACACAGGAGATGAATAACAGATTGACCACAAAGGTTCCAGCAAGGAAAAAGGGAATTGGGAGATGAAGTACCTATAACACTGTGCGCTCGCTGTGATCCACGAAGAATTGCAGCTAAGCCCAGGTCCCCAATCTTCACTTGTCCAAGATGACCATTAACAAATATGTTATCACACTTTAGGTCTCGATGGATAACTGGTGGATCATGTTCGTGTAAATAAACAAGGCCTTCCAGTATTTGGCGTGCCCAATTCTTTATAGCTCGAATGTCTACTTGCTGATACTTCTTTCTGTATCTGCATTCAATGAAATGATCAGTGATTTTCTTATCTTGTAATAGTTTTACCAATAAATCAGAATCAACCAGCAGAAATGGGACATCCATGTATCCCCGTCAGCGAATCCGCCACAGATATTTAGGTCGTGTTAATTAATTTCAATGCTCACCAGAAACTCAAATCTCAAATTCTTTGTTTATTTTTTTCATAAGACATTACAGAAGCAAGGTATCAGATCCTTTGTAGGATTCCCTTAATTCTTTTATTTTCTCTTTCCCTAGCATCTATGCTACAACCTAAAGAGAAAAAAAATCAATTAGTATTTCAACAACTAACCGTACTCGAAATTGGGACCTTTAAGTCCAAGGCCCTCACATGCGGCCTCAAGCCCGCTTTAACAAAATCCCACTAGGTTGCAAATTAGGTGCAACACTAACCAGTAATGGATCTACACTAGACGCAGCGTATTCGACATAACTCAATGCGTCTAGCTTGAACTATATATGTGTGTATGTAAAAAAAAGAAAATTGGCACATATATACAGAGTAGAACCCAAGGGCAGCTCGGTGCACTAAGCTCCCACTATGCGCGGGAATGGACCACAATGGTCTATTGTACACCGCCTTACCCTGCATTTCAACAAGAGGCTGTTTCCACCGCTCGAACCCGTGACCTCCTGGTCACATGGCACTAACTTTACCAATTACGCCAAGGCTCCCCTCCAAAAAGTAGAACCCACATACTCTAAATTTCGTAGTCGTCACTGCATTTAACTTGCCAGATACAGAGCATAAATTTTAACCATTCTTGACAAAACCAGAACAAGGAAGAGAGCATTACCCTCGGAGAGTACCGGAAGTGAACATTTCGGTAATGAAATTGAAGGTCCTGTGTTCAACATCAATCCAAGAAGTATAGAATCTCATGATAGAATGATGATTGAGGGTACTAAGCAGATGAACTTCAGAATAAAGCCTCTCCATATCCTCTGGTGAATGAAGCAAATCATTTAGTTTAATTTGGTTCCATGCCATTTCCATACCTAGCAACTCATCAATTGCTCTATACACTGTTTTCATTGCCCCTTTTCCCAAAACTTCCTCGAACTGTCCGCCCATGCATTAAAACCCAAACATCAAACATAATCAAGAATCACACATAATTTACTCTACTCACACAAAAATAGTAACTTTCTCTGTTCCCATTTATGGAACTCAACAAATCAAGAATTGTACATGCGTAATTGATCAACCAAATCAACAACAACAACAACAACAACAACAAATTCAGTAAGTTCCCACAAGTGGAGTCTGGGAGCAGACCTTACCCCTGCCGGGAGGACAGAGAGGCTGTTTCCGATAGACCCTAGGCTAGAGAAGGCTAGAGAGTAGACGAAAAACCAAATTACTATCATCAAAAGCATTTTAAGGATTATAACATGCAACTAAAAGGCAAAAAGTTTGAAGCTTTAAAGAAAAAATTGAATCAACTTACAATAAATTACAACAAAGATAGTAACTTTAATTGTACATGCATAATTGATCAACCAAATACTGTCATAAAACCAGTTTAAGTTTTATAACATGCAATAAGAAACCAAAAAGATTGAAGCTTTAAAAGAAAAACTAAGGTTAAAAATTACTTACACGTCCATAACGACAAGTAGGATCAATTTCAACATATCTAAGATCATCCTCTGATTCTTTACAATTTTCTGAAAATCTTCCCTTATACATATTGAATTGATTCTTACAAGAATTTCAGTTAATCAAGAAAGTTGGTATAAGTTGAAACTTGAAAAGGGTAGTTAATTACTCTTTCCTTTTTTTTTTTTTTTTTTTTTTTGTGATCTACTTATAAAAGAGTTACGTGGGTAGCTAAAAGTTTTGTAGTTTATGACTAAGTAAAAGAGGTGTTTTGTATTCTGTATATAGTAATTAAATCCCAGGATGTTTCAGAGAAGAAACCAAAGAGAA